GAAAAGTTACTCTTCATATATTCTTTAAATTTATTATTTTATTGAATGTATCATGGCTATTAGTACAACTGGCACTTGATACAGATCCAACTCATTATTTTTGATGGCTGCTTAATATCCCATTGTATGGATGTACCATAATTTATTTAAGCAGTCCCCACTAATGAAAATTTAGATTGACATTAATTTTTTATTATTACAAATTATGTACTTGTATAGGCACTGAATAGAGTCTTAGAAATGGAGTTTTTGCGTCAGAGTCCATGCATATGTTATATTTAAATATAACCCTCTAAAAAGCAGTTTATACTTTTAGCAACAGTGCATGAAAATGCTTTTTCTTTCCAAATCCTTACCATCTCTGGACTTTTCAGTCTTAGTACTTTTGAGTCTTATATATATTTTGTGAATCCCATTATTTTAGTTTGCTTTTCCCTGATCATTGAAGAGATTGAACAACTATTCACACATATATTAACAGTTGTATTTTTGCTTTTGAATTATATCTTTGTAATTTTCATTTTTCTTTCTAGTGAACTTACGTCTTTTTATATGTTATACAAAACTCTGTTGGTTATATGGCAAATATTTTTTCCTGTCTGTTAGTTATCTTTTGCTGTTGCTTATGGCGGGTTTTTTGTTTGTCTGTTTTAACTGGGTGTAGGCTTTCAATTTTCATACAGCTAAGTCTGTTATTCCTTTACGGCTTCCAGATTTTGTGACATGCTCGAGGAGACCTTCCGCATTGTAAGATCAACAAAATGATGGCCTGTGTTTTCTTCCATTATTTTATATTTTTATTTCATTTTATCTATACTAATAGTGATGTAGGATGAGTGGACTTTCTGGGAGTGTTTTGTGTCTGTTAGGTCTTGACTAACTAGACTGATTTTTTTCACAGACCCTTGTCCTGTACGCCCTTGGTGTGGTACTTCAGGATCCTAATACTTGGCCATCACCATACAAGTATGAAATATCTGTCATTGTCTTTGTGATTATTGATTTTTATGTGTTTGTATGTTTTGCATTCCTTTTCTAGGTTTTGAGGAGAAGATTCAATATGTGGCAATGCTACAGCAAAAGAAAGCCACTGCCTCCCCTTTATATTTCAGTTCACTGCTTTTTCTCTTTCATGAATCTGCTATTCTTTGTCTCTTTTATTACCATTTCTATCCTAAGATTTGTTTAATTCCCTGATCTCTATAACTATCCTTTAATTTCAATAGATTGGAATTCTTTTGTTTCAATAGATTAGATTGTTGATAAGTGGGTTTTGCTTATGCAGTTTCTATTTTCCTTCTGTTCTCTTGCAACTATTGAGCTCTTTAGTACAATTCAGAAAATAGTTGTGTATATGTATGTTATGTGTGTGAATGGCAAGGGAGGGAAAAGGTGAAGAACAAAGCTACTGCTGTTTGCCTCCTAGATGGGCATCCAGTAAAATCTGCTTTAAGGTAACAGGTGTCTGGGCAAGGTTGCTCATGCCTGTAATAGTAGCACTTTGGGAGGCTGAGGTAGAAGGATTGCTTGAGGCAAGGAGTTCAAGACCAGACTGGGCAACATAGTGAGATCCCATCTCTACAAAAAATGTAAAAATTAGCCAGGTGTGGTGGCACACTCCTGTAGTCCCAGCTATTCGGGAGGCTGAGGCAGGAGGATCACATACACCCAGGAGTTTGAGGTTCCAGGGAGCTGCGATTGTGCCATTGCACTCTAGTCTAGGCAACAGAGTGAGACCCTGTCTTGAAAAAAAAACTGAAGGATAACAGGCAAGGATTTACTGCCCTGGAAGAGAGTTATATGCTGAGTTGATTGGAAGTAAAACCACACTGTGAAATGCAAGGGGGGCGAGGTTGGTGGCATGGATGACATAGGTTACCTAATAACATAGGTGGATGACATAGGTAACCTACGTACTAGGTAACCTACTTCTGGAGTAGGTTAAGTAGGTAAGGATGGGTATACTAAGTGTTCCTGTCACTTTACTTTTTAATATTATAATGACATTAAAGGGAATTTCTTTTTTATTTCAGGATATTATGGGGGTACAAACATTTTGGTTAAAAAATATGGAATGCTTCACAAATTTGTGTGTCATCCTTGCGCAAGGGCCATGCTAATCTTCCCTGTATTGTTCCAGTTTTAGTATATGTGCTGCTGAAGTGAGCACTAAAGGGAATTTCTTAATAAATCAAATAGCAGTCCTTCAAAATTTGCTGTAAAGTAAAAATTGTTAGATAATTTTATATTCTAAGT